GTCATCCCCGCCAATGGATTGCCATCTACGGGCAATCCAAGCAAAACCTCTACATCCTGCAAAGTAATTCCAACCTCTCCGAATGGAAGATGGAATGAATGGGTCTCGGGCCTCCATCTCTCCACTAGAGCTGTGATCAAAGCCCAGTCCAATTGCAAGCCACCAACTCTCTCAATCCCATGAAATCCGTATTCTCGTAAAAAATGACTCACACGAACCGGTCTATTAACAATAAGAGTACTCGTATACAAACTAGTACAAGTCCTGTGACACTTTAATACTTTTTTAGCATATTCTTCTTCGGCCCAAACCGTATCACACCTATGGTCTCCCGCTTCAATTACTAAAACATCGCGTAAAATAGGTCCCGGATGTACATCCATTTGCTTCAAAGATTACAACATAAGAATATACTCAATTAATAAAATATAACAAGACAATTATATTTTTAAAAAAATCATGAAGTAACCACTTATGCATACAATCTATGTCTAAATATTTATTTTACACAATAACAAAGTTTTAAAATTAAACAATATATTTGTTAATATTTTCTCACAATTCAAAATTATTGGAACAAATTTAACAAAAAAAAATTAAAATACCTTCAAGCTTCAAAACGGAGTAGCTGACTCCGGTCAAGGTGGGGTCGTTCGGCGTCCTCCCTCCCTCGTCGTTTATCGCCCACCGTCGGCCCTCCCTCGTCGTTTAACGCCCAGCGCAGACCCTTTTTTTTTGTTTTACAGATCTCAGATCTGTGTAAAAGAGGAGAGGGGCGGAGATCTAAATTGAAGAGACACGGAGTAGCGTACTCCGTCTCTGATTATGTCAGGCCAAACGGAGTTGGCTACTCCGTCTTGGTTTTATTCCACCCAAACGGATTTCGCTACTCCGTGTCATTAAATAATTGGGCTCAAACGGAGTAGGCTACTGCGTCTTTAAAAATAAAACAAAAGGAAACTGAGTTGACAACTCCGGGGTTGCAAAAAGATGTCTGACATGCATTGCCAACTCCGAGTTTACTCTACAAGTTGATTTCAAAAGGAATAGAGCCGATCTTGTGGTGATGGAAGATCATGTCTACGCGGATCTAGTTAGAGAAGATGAAGAGAAAGAGAATATGTGGGTCTAGAATTGTTTTGGCTTTGTTAGAGTCTCACATCGAAACATTGCCCAGAAAATAATGGATTTATAAGATCTTGAGTTGATTTGAATAATCGATTCGGTTTAATTTCAAGACCATTTTACCATCTTTCATGAAAGAGATGTTGGCAATGATCTCTTCTTCTTTTTCTCTTGCCAGGTTTTCTGAGCAGTTGTCAAACAAAGTGCTCTGCAGCCCAATTGATAGGTATTCCTAAGCCCTAGCTATATCTAGCTACATTTAGTGTTATTAGACTTATTGATTTCATCTTATAAAATAAAAATGATGTTTTAAGTTCAGTCTTATGATTGTTCTTCAGCATTTAAGCATCTTATGGTGTGACCTTTGATTTGTTGGTTTGAATTTTGAATCAATTATTGGGTGCCATTGATTTCAGATGGCGAAGGACTATGGAGG